GGACTAGTTGGTGAAGATCTATAATAGTTCGTGGCGCACTCACTTCGTTCGTGTCGTGCACTGTGAGCTATTCTGGCTACGCCGCTGCCAGTAATCAAAAACGAAATGACGGAGACGCTCATTTGATTTCAACGAATAGTTAATGGTGTGTTATTTTCCCACTTGATTGCCACTGTAGTGGTATCAACAAGCGCAAGGATGCATACAGTGCACATTGCAGGTGTTTTAGAAACCCAACTTGCGGGTCACAGTCCAGTCCGGTTTAACAATGCGACAAGAGTGCCTCAAACATATATGTGATCGCTGTATTTTCACTACCAGTCATCCCATCATCTAATGACACAAGTGTTTAACAGCACACCCCGAAGTGCTTCGAACATTTTGGTCCTTAAGAAGCCCATGAGGAAAAAAAAAAGAATGACCGTGAGATATGTGAATACAGGTTGAGAGCTATCAACATTCATGTGTTTCGGCATACAGTTTTCATCAAGTTCGAAATAGGATACTCACAGCTAAAACATTATCTCAGAAAACCTTTTCGCTTGAACTATGTAGCCTTAAGAAAGGCAAATTATATCCATTACAACGTTCGGACACTGTACAGCACCGGCGAACATCTGGAACATCTGTGCAGCCACAACCGCTTGAGTTGCGGAAGGCGCTTTCTCTGCCTATGGCAAGATGGCGGCGTGCGGCTTCACTTGAGGGCCGCCTTCTCCACTCCAGCAAGTATTGCTTTAACCTCCTTGGAAATACATCACTAACAAAAAATTTCTTTCATGACGTCACTTGTGACGTCCCAAAATAGAGAATAAGGGTGAAAATGAAGAGGAGGAGCGTTGCCGCGGAAGCCCTCTTTTCTCACTTCGCATGCAAGCGGAATGCGCTCATGCCTTTTTTCAGGTCCGCTGGCCGCTTGGGCGATGCAGGCCTTCGTAAAATTTTGTCAGTCTTTTTTTTTCCAAATTATGTTTGTGTGTTCTGAAGAGGCGAAAGTTAAGCTGACTGATGTCTCAGTATAAGATGAAACCCAAGTGGCACAAATAAAATTAACTTTTCTTTATTACATGTCTCGCTCGTATAAAGTAAACACATTCACGTAATGCAAAAGTGTCAATCTATAAAATCAGCTTTAACTTACAACTGCCATACGAATATAATGAGCAAACATTAAACCCAGAGTATCATAACCAATGCAAAAATTATCAACAATCAAGAGTAGGACACGTCATATTTGACTCAATCACGTTTGTTATGACGGCATACAAAGTTTTCCTAGAAAACTTTCGTACCAAACGAGACTGAAGTTCGGAGCCATGGAGAAGCTTGAAGCGATCAGTAGTTTTTTGAGAAAGAACGTCGCTGGAAACAGTGTTTCGGCAAGTTGACTTGTCCTCATCGGGTCTATGGCGTTGCCGTGACGAAGAAACGTTAACTTGTCAAAACGTTGGCTCCACCGACATTCTCTTTAATAATATATAAAGCATTTAGTTCATCACGTGTATTTGAGTGACAGTATTAGAAGTAAAGACTCACAAATTATCAAAGAGTGGCTACAATAATTTTGTGAGCAAGAAGCAGCCTATAATCACTTGACATCATTTGAACTACACGCCAAAAGTAAAAGAAACTATATCTATGTAGCCAAGCCTACTCGAATTTAAGCCTTTCAATAAACACATTTTCCCGACAGGAGCTCGGCTGCCGTCTTCACCAATTAAACAAGTGATACTGCACTCGTTTCAGTCCAGTCAGACTTGCAGAGAACTGGGTTTACTCATGTACTCATGCAAAATCAATGCCTGCTCAAATAATAGGTCCAAGTTCTTGTGCTCACCCGTTGCCTTTAGGAAACGGTGAGAAACCTTCGCGGAAGCAGAAATCACCGGGTTAGCACACCGCAGAGTCGCGGTAAACATGTTGGCCGGTTTTAAGCCATCTTCGACAAATGCGTGGTTCACTTGTTGGGCGTAGCTCACTGCAGCTTCCATTCTCTGCCCGCCGCCACTTGCTGTTCTTATCTTTCCCGTAGTTGGCATGCACGACAACCAAGCGAGGTAATTGAGCGCGATTTAACTTTTAATATCGCTGAGCGAGGGGCGAGAAAGAGAGGAGGCATGCGCTACGAATTCAAGTCAATCACTTCCCACGCTTCACCTGGTTTAAAACAAATAAAATAAGGAATAAGAAAACACATATAAACAGAAAGAAGTTCTTTACAGGGGTATCAAATTTTTTTATTTGTAAAAACTTGTGAAAGCCAATAAATGCAAACATTCACATCAGCCTCACTCTCTTGAACCGGTTCATAGGATGCACGGCAACCACTACGAGCATGCATGTTCCTTAAAATTCAAAGTAGTACTGAGTTTCTGCGGCATGGTACAAGCGTGGTACAAGCGTGCAATGCCATTGGGCGTCAGAACATTTTTAATGTCTTAACGAATTGGTGGTTTAAAGCTGGCCACCCATTCCAAAAGGCACAAACGTTCCTGCATATATTCTTTCAATATCATGTAGAACGTGCATAGTAAGTTCCAAAACATTTCACGCTCAAGATTACTTATGTTTTAAACCATGATAAACATTGCATAAAATGCAGTCATATGCGACAGCTTCGCTAACACAAGCCACTTTCAACTTTACGGGTTACATTGTAGTAATCTGCAATTTAAACTTCTCGAGTAACATCCTACAATAAAAAGTGTGCACCCATTGGTTCAAGTACGCATTAAAGACCGAATAATGCTATCGCATTCAACTCATAAAAGTGAAGTTTTAAGGTCCATGCCCAATTTTCTTGAGCATTATCTACCCTCATAATGCAATAAAATGTGGTTAATATTTGACCAGAGTTATTAGAAATAGAACGATGAAACATTCAAATAAAATTTAGAAGGCATTTGCAAACACAAATAACAAATGTCGGCAGCTAATACAGGAGTCTCCCGGATTTTCGGGGGGACTCTTGGATTTCAAGTATTTCTTACGTTTGTACGGTTGGCTGGAGAATCTCCCAGAAATCGAAATTTCTCTGCGTGGTCTGGCCGCATTAACCGAAATCCAACCCTGTACAATCTAGGCTTTTTATGAAGCTATAAGGCTAATGCATTATAATCTAAATGAATTGGAAGGCATTGGTTTAAATTTATGTAGTAGAATCTGTGATAGAAATTTGTGAAATTTGTCAGCCATATTTCAGTGTCCAATGGGTCAAAATTCAAATGTTCCAAACTCGTTGGCGCATCACACAAGGTGATACGAACTTCGGTTTCAAATTGTCGAGCCAAGAGTGGGAAGCTTCTAAATGACATGCACGGCCAACGAAGCCATGGTCCTTGAAACGATCATGTATGGCGACAGCAAAACTGACAGTACTCCGAAATTCCGCGTGCATTGAGTACTCACGCAGTCAAAGTGACGCTTCTTTCTGCGAACGCTGCTGGCAAAACCGTGACAGGTTCAGTCATAACTTGCAATAGGTAACTTAGTTTTGAGAGCACGTGCACAGCCAGCGCATGCGGATTGAAAATGGAACTGCTGTTTGCAGCAATGGCCGCAAGCGAAACTGCAGTCACTGCAACATCATTATCAGTAGCGTCTAGGCTGATGCAATGGTATATTAAAGGTGATAAAGACAAGGAGCATTTCAGTGTTCATATCGATCCCATTTTATTTCATTTTATTTATTAACCTTTAAGAACCCAGAGGAGTATTACATAAGGGGGGGTTTATGAACGAAAATTTCAAAGTTTGTCCACGAGAACATCTTGTCATTTCTTTAATGAAGGCAGGCGAGGTGGTGATGGAAGCAATGTGCTGTGGAAGGCCGTTCCAGTCTTTGGCTGTGCGGTGGAAAAATGATGACGAGCAAGTGACAGTACATACAAATGGTCGAGCAACATTAAAGGAATGGCCTGTGCACAGTGAAATGTGCATAGGAGGCAGAATATAAGGCATTTGGAAAAATGAACTGCTGTAATATTTATGATATAATGATAGCTTGCAATGCAACAGCAATTTACTAGTGCACCCAAACTAGAAACTGCTTTTAACGATCAAACACTGATGTCATATGAGAATGATGAATGTATATACCTTACAGCATGATTTTGAAAGGATTGTATGGCGTCGCTGAGATAGATCTGATGAGAATTCCAAATGGGTAATGCATATTCGAGTGTAGGCCTAACCAATGTTTTATATGCGAGTAGTTTTACAGTTGAAGAGCACGGCAAAAGTTACATTTGAAAAATCCTAAAGTTTTGCTTGAAGATGATGTGATTTTAGTCACATGAGAGGACCAGTTGAGATCATGATTTCAGTGGAACGGACTTTTTGGGCATTTCAGTTGGACTCAAGCGAAGCTTTGACTTTTGTGGCAGCCAGCTGCGCCGTCTCTTATTGCTTCGTTTGCGTGTGTCCCAGAAAAATGTACACGAGTTATTTTGACGGAAACATCTTGTGCATATATTGTGGTTTGAAAACTGGTTTTGATAGTTTGTTGTTGTTGTTCAATGTTTTGATAACCAGAATATTTTCTATCCCGCTTGAGATTTCTACACATCACCGAGATTCCACAGTAGCTTGGACACCCCACCTGTGTTGTTTGCAAGCGATTATAAGAGCACAATGCGAATGTTTATGCTACAAGGCTATTCGAGACCCATTTTGGAGGAATAAAAAATGGAGAGGGGCGAGGCATAGCCCCTACATTTTGGTGCCAAAAACTTCTGGATTCAGAATCCTTGAACATAGCAGGTATGAAAATGTAATATTATTATGCAATACGCCACAGCAGGGGACTTAATTTTATTTCAGACTGCCTGGCGTTTATAGACATTGCACTAACATTTAGGCACAAAAGCGTTCTTTGCATTTTGACCTTATTAAAATGCGAACATAGCTGTGTCTTACAATGAATTGAACCCCTCAAACTATTCTCTTTCTTTTGTATGTGCATGCATGTGTAGCATGTGAGTGGTGCACTGTGTGCGCAGGACATCCTCATGGTGGGTGGTGGTGAGGGAGGAGGGGGTGACGAGAAGCGCAAGCGGGTGATGCGTAGCATGGCCCACCTGTGGCTGGAGCAGGAGGTGCGGGACCTGGAGGGGCAGCTGGGCCAGGCAGGCAGGCAGGCCGCACCACCACCCTTCCTGGTGCCACACACACAGGTGCTCTGCACACGCCTGGTTCACCTGCGGCGCCTTGTGGCTTCCCGACGCTTTGTGCTGGTCGTGCCCTCACACGGTCAGATTGGTTTTTTACGCTTTGTATGTATGTGTGCGCACATGTTGCATGCATGCACGTGTGTTATACCTTATAGATTTGGATTTGAAAATGATATAATTGATGGTGGTTATGTCACAAGAATAAGCCAAACATAATATCAGACTTAAGACCTAAAGTGCGTGGGCATCAATGGGGAGGGGGAGGGGGGGGGGCAAATTGAGCCTTTTTCCTTCCCAAGCTACGCCAGCACCATCTACCCCCAGCCAAGTGTCACCAGCTCTCTAACTTCCCCTAGGTGGGAGCGAAGCGGCACAAAAGGAAAGTTTGCGCCCCCTCATGACAAACTCCTGCCAACACCCATGAAGTGCACTCTGTTGCTCAACAGTGCACTTTGTCTCAGTTGTTTCATGCATGTAAGAGAAGAATAAAGTCCGACTGCTGGTGTGGCTGTCCTATAGGGCATCTCCCTGATGCGTGCGGTGTTTGAGCTTGATTTGTTTCGTAAACATTCCTGATCTGTCCATTGGGGAGGGTTGTTTGTATACACTGCTTTATATATAGCTGGAAGCATTGGGAATTAATCAGATATGTGCATCATTTCATGCAGTAGCAAAGACTCTGTGTCATAAATACTTTGCTGCTAGCGAAATTAAATTGATCAAGTCCTCCTTGTCTGCTTTCAGTGATCGCATGCCTGGACCTGCTGAAACGGGAAAGCGTCGGAGCCCGGGAGTCCATCCGCTGGCTTGAGGGGGAACTGCGCAGAGGAAGCAGGTATGTAGTGGTCACTGCAGCTGTTCTGGAAAACTGCTGGCAAGCAGTGCTAGACTCTTGAAAAATCTTAGCATGAGAAAATACCAAACATTTATACCTGCCTTCATTTTTTATGAATTGGTAATGCATAATTAGAATCGAGATTAACAAGTATGACCTGAAAAAAATGCAACTTATAAAAGTACTTGCTTGAGCGAGTTGGTGGCTATTCCATGTAGTTGGTAGTTGGTGTACGTCCAATAAACTCGGTCGAAAGTTTGCACTTGTGTCTATCTGGTCCTTCATCCCAAGTGTTCTTCTTTTAAGCAGTGCGTAATAACGTAACAATGAACTAAAAAAAAATAACTTTTGGCAACTTCAGTGCACCAGTATCTTTTTTACTGTTTTTCTAGCTCAATGTTTTTTTCTTTTATGTGGTATATTTCCCAACTTTTCTCTTTAATGCTGATGGTACAAGCATACACTGCCTTTACATCAGTAGCGATTAGAGCTGCTCTTTTGGTACTGTACCACTCGTTACTGTTTCCAGACACTGTGATTGTTCACTTTCGGAAGATTTATAATGTATTTTAATACATGTATTGTGTCCTGATTATACTGTGTAAAAAGAGTTCTTTAGCACAAGTATTAGGTAATTTATTGTGGCTCCCTAAAGTTGATTTTGTCTATTAAGTACAAGATTGTGTGTGCCTTCGCCTAATTATTGCCATGTCTTTGTGCAGATATGTGCGGTCTCAGAAGAGCCATGAGCGCCTCTCTCTGTCTCCTATGAAGTACCCAAAACGCAAAGAGAAAGAAGCCTGGTGCGTATCACTCGTTAGCTCCTATGTCACTGTGCATTGCTATCATTTTACTGTTTTAGAGATGGTAGCAAGTTATGTGAAGAATGGTACAATTTATGATTGTTGCGAGTGGTGCATTATTTTCTGATGGTGAAGAATCACAAACATCAATTTGCTACAAAACATTTTTTGCGCGCTGGTTTAGGACAGGGAAATTATTAACAGCAGAGTTGGTGAAAAAGCCTATAATTTAAAAACAGTGTTTATCTTTAACGTGTGCTGTTCAGAGCTTGCTACAGTTCGTTGTGTCTAATGATGATTCATATTAATAAAGTGTCACTGTATCTTTCAAAAGGTGTGTGCTTTGTCAAGTTTTAGGGAAAGTAAGTGTTATCTCTCCAGCACCAACAACTGCATCATGTCTGCAGGATTTTTAATAAATCTAAAGTTCACTTGTTTATACATGTTCTGGCTGGGTGGCTTTGGCATCCTAATGCAAAGCAGGAGCTCGAAAGTTACGCTTTTAAGGTCTTCTCCACTTGCTGCGATGTGAAATCAGCAGGAAGTTGAGAGAAACATACAGCTCTGCATTATGCAGCAGTGTTTCTGAGAACTTACCTGACACCCAATAGCTGTAGTAGTCCAGCACACTTAGAAAGTTCATAGTCATACTAAGATCAACTGAGCTGGTGTATGTATGGGCTGTTGTCCTATCCACAGCTTGTTCCAAAGCTTGCTTTGCCGATGGCATAAATCTCATCTACAAGCACTAATGGGCAATCCTCCGTTGTAACATTCTTCTAAGTCCTCTTAACAGTTTTAGTGGAATGAAACTTAGTGGAATGAAACTCGATCACACGACAGAGTGCAAAGTAGAGGTTTCAGCATAAAGACTGTTTTGCAGTGGCAACTTTCTGAAGGATGTATGATTGTTTCAGGGAGCTGTTCCAGATCCTCGAGTGCTGCCACCACCTGGAGAAGCAGTGCCCTCGTGGGGGGCACCCAGCTGACCGGCCTCTGGTTACGCTACTTGTCTGTTCTGGGCCACCCGGCATGTTGAGCGGCCTGCCACCCAACGCAACTGCCGTCGCCAGCTCTGCAGGCAAGCATTGTACTACCTTGTACTGCACTAAGAGCCTATCCCTGATGCTGTTAAGCTAGCGGCACTTTATGTTCCTAGCCTAGAAGCCGCATCACTGCTGCCACTGCTTTTGGGTTTCTTCACTTGAAGCACGTGGTATAGTGTCAGAGTAGAGGACCACTTTTATAATAATACGAGACAGGTATGCATGTTTGAAGAGCCTTTTGCGGTACTAACTTTTGTGGTGTGCTCATATTCACCGTTTCTCTGTGTACCTACGCAGCTGTGGAAGGCTTGGTGGCATTTGCATATTGGTCTCAAACTTACATTGATTATAAGGCCGCACACACTGTGTTGCATGTTGAAAGCATGGGGCTAGTTGTTGATTTCTCTACTGTAGACACATAAAACTCTCTCCATGTGCCGAGATCTTTCAAACCTCTCAATGCAGGCATTAACATGGAGGATGTAGAAGCATTCACCACCAAGTGGCTGACAGCAAGTGTGCCCAGAACACAGCCTGGCTGAGACATCAAGGAATGATTCCCGAGTATTCACAATAAATCCTTTGGAGGCGAGAAACAAGCCCTTCGACCAACCACGCAGGCAAACCGCTCTTATTTGCAGCAAGTATGGGAATCCTGAGTCTTGCATTACAACAAGATCGCCGCAGTGGCTTTTGGTGACACATCAGCTGAGATGCTGGCGATTCTTCCACATGCGTAATTCGCAGCCATCTGTCAGATGGTGGAAGGCTGAATATATCTTTTGTCAAAGAAGCCAGCAGTACAGTTTGGGCTGGTTATTGATTTTGCGTACTTGTATCGACTTGGGCACTCAACAAAGTCTTTTTTTTTTTTTTTTGACAGTGTACTAGTAACCTGATTTGTGCACCTTGTGCACAAAGTGAAGTGTTTAGACAAGTCAACTGGTATGACTGATGGTTTAGCATTCAACATACTCAAGTAAGTTTACTGCATTCAATTGCATAAGTACTTGTGTTTTCACCTTCTTCTTTATCATTAATATGATGAAACATTTTCCTGCCGTTTTGCCTTGCATCAACTGGTTAAAGGAAACTGGTTAACGGAACATTATGATTCATATTCAAAAAGTAACAACACTGCTTCAATAAAAAATTGTAGCAGAAATATTACTCATAAAACAAGCAAAAGATATAATGTAGCTTCTTGTACATCATTCAGCAAGATTTTAAAAATTGGAAGGGCTTAAATTTATGGTATTCCATTGAAACTTTTGGCAGAGCACTAAATGACTGCACAATTGCGGCAACATGTGGGCTCGTGCGTTTATCTTTCTTTCCCATTGTTTAGCGCTCCACTAAGTTTGACTGACCATTTGAGTTGTCTGTCTATTTGTGTTGCAGACTTGTTACTCATTGGATTAAATCCCAGCAGGCTTAACTTTATCGAATGCAAGCTACATTCAGCACCACATCGTTATTACCTACATGTATTATGAGCTGCCTAGTAACCCTGCAAACAGTTTCAAAAATTCACTTGAAAAGACTGCATAAATGCTTTTATGCTACTTTAATACTTGAGCATGCAACATGCCTGCTCATAAACGGTGCTTTATCGTCAGCACAATGACTGCTTTTTAAATTGTTTTTTCAGCATATGCAGACAGACCAGCACAATTTCCTGATGCCACTGAGCCTGGCATAATTTTTTTTATATCATGCTATTATTTGAGTTCCATAAACCTTTTACTGTTATTTAGATAAATTCAGCCAAGTTCTCTATTGAACTGTTCATGCTGTCCATCATCTGCGAAGATTCTAGGTAATGTGACAGTCTGTTTACTTGTCTTGTCTAGTAGACTTTACACAGGTCATTATTGCTGCATCTTGTTTGTTTGTTTGTTTGGGTGCCAAAGTTGCGTAGCTATACTTGATACCCGTCAAAAAACAGTAAATGTTGAAATCAGTGCCATTCAAAGCGCGGTATTTTTTATTTCAAATAAAAATATTTTGTGTTGTCAGCATTTGTCCTGCACCTCATTTGAACTAGTGGGCATGCCAGTCTCCACAAACTTCATAAAGGGATTGAGGAATTATGCAACAAATTTTTCGAATTTTTAGAAATTTCAGCAGCATAATGTACAGTTTCTGTAACACTTTAAGATGAAATGCACCTGCTGCACACTTGGCAATGCATTAGGTTATACAAACAAGGACTTTGCAAGACATAGTGAGCCACTGTGTGAGAGAGAATCGTTGAATTACCTTTATGTTCCCACTGAACTGCACTTACTGATTATTCAGTCCCCCCACTCTAGCTTCCTGCAGGTCATTTTACACGGGATTTGGGGGGGGAGGGGACATTGATAGCATTTTTTAGAATGCACACAACTGACCAATAAATGCCCATGAAACCAAAAAATAAATGTGTATTCTGCGAGATAAAGTTCTTATTGGCAAACATTAAGAACATCAAGCATTCATGCAGGAAAGAAACGCAGAATGAACACTGCCCAGATGAAGCTAACAAGGGAATGGATTGATTTCTGGTAGCATTTTCTTCTCTTTATTAGCTCTCGGAGGATCACGCAGAATGAGATACGTACTGTACAATTGCTCATTTGGATCCCTCGATAACATCCTCTAGCGATGCTGCTCAATTTAGAGTGAAGTGGGGCGAAGAGGGGGGAGCCGTCTCCTTTCTAGGTACGTGCCAACATGATGTTGGAGTTGCCCTGGGATCGGTTCACTTTCTACTGAGCGGCTACATCTAGTGATGGTGTCACCCTACGGTGTTACAAATTTCGGTGATCATTAAAGTCTTGAGGGTGTCACTAGTCGTTCCAGCTCCGCTCGCTCGAAAGCCATTTACGTTTTTGGACAGATGTCGCGAAAGACAGAGTCAATACAACTCCGCAGCCCTGCTATACCCCCTATCCCCAAACCAACCCGGGAGTAGTGGGAAGCGACCCTGCTTGGCTGTTCTCACCTTCAGGCCCAAAAGTCCTTGGTTTGACAAGCCCAGGCAGCAGCCAACGGAAATGGGGATCCCCACCTACTAGTTGTGTGTGCCCCTCTCTTATGCCTCCATACCTTCCTTGTTTCTAATAAATGGTTTTACCACGAACATGGAACTCAAAAGGATGCTGAAGTGAAACGATTGCTTAGAATAGATGAATGCACTTCTTAATTTGACTATCGTGGGTTTGTTAATGGAGGAGAAAAGCAATGTCGAAGTTTCATGATTGTTTCTTGTCAAAATCTCCGTGGGTGACGTCACAGATATTGAAGTATTTTTTTAAATTTTGACGGAGTTGGCCCAACAAAATTTCCTGAACGTTAGTGTATGTCGAGTTTACCACTCAGGGCCATTTACCCCTCAGGGCTTCCTCAGAAAAACTTCGTCATAGACTCGCAAAAGGGGTGTGTTATGGTTTTTAGAGGCGCAGAAACAACTGGTCTAAGCCTCGTCAAAAGCAGGTTGTGTAGTGAATACTTGCATATATAATTGCAGTGAGGTAATGTCGCAGATTTGGTTGACCTGCTAACTTGCTGTACAGTTTTGATATAAGTTTCTCCATGCCGAAAAATGTGTGAAATTATCGGCAAAAGACCATTCTTGAGGCATGTACAAGAAGAATGCATAGTTGTGTACATTCAAAGTATTGAAGTCTTTTGGAGCTCTACTAAGAATGAGTAACAATTTCTTAGCTGCACTTAAGAGCTTGTTGTTGCAGGAGAATCTCGGGCGTTGGCAAGCCTCTTTGGTAGCAATGGAACCAGACAAGGCCAACTACTGATCAGCATGGCAGATATGACGATGTGGTGTGCAGCTGTCGTATGCTGTCTTCACTTGGCGTAACGCAAGCAAAACTATTCAATAAAAAAAAAAGTAATAAGCAAACGAGAAGGGGAGCTGGAAATAATTAGGAAAAAAAAAGAAAACCGAGGGGAAGCAAAGAAACTGTGCATTTCCCTCTGGCTTGGCACCACACTACCTCGCCGCCACCGTTCTGCACTGCCAAAGCTGTCGAGTGAAAGCAAGCCACATGCTTGTGCAGAAAAACAGAGTTCCAGATATAATCGCCTTGACAATGGCATGGTTGAGGAATTTGTCCTTGTTTAGCATCTCCTGTGGTGCATCAATAAGTAATATGTGTGAGCGCTGACTCCCTATTGAAAAAACGTCTTCCATAGGAATGGTGGATTCCACTATTTTGGTGTACTATGGTGATGTAAATGTCGGTGGCATATGGTGAATGCTGGAGCACGAAACGGTGTCAGAACCATCGTGACGAGCTAACTGCCACTAAAAAAGAATTGTATGTAAGGCGATGTAAAAAGCACCTGTAAATAAAGAAACGTGACCACGAGGATTCCCAACTGAACCACTGCACCATGCCGACTTTTTTTCCTTTATTGTCTGCGTCATGTCGACATATGCAAACTTTACTGTAAAATGACTGGTCAGCTTACTAACTGACCATTCAACTTCAGCTTTGTATGTCGCATACTCAAGCTAGATGGGATTTGCACATTTATTAAACAAACTTCTGCTGCCTGTTACGATTGCCACTGCGATAATGGCAACTGCGCTAAATTTTTGATTCACAACCGCAAGAAAAAAAATCAAGTGAACTGACGAGCAAGCATACCTTATGTCGGTTAGTACATCTGGTCAAGCTTTATGACGCCTCTCATTTGATAGATATTCCCTCATAATTGATTGAGTATTGCGATGATTTTCGCGCAACGTACAGCGCACTCGTGCCAGATAGCTGCTCTATCGTTAGCAACAACTACATAACAGCTTGACCAAAACGGATGCAAGGTGCCGGAAACATTCAGTAAACATATGAATTTGATAAGTCTGTGTTCTCGCATAAGAGCCAAAGAAGTGCCGGTGAGTGCAACCGGTGGCTGTCAGTGAGCGGAGGCGTACGTTTGCTAGAAGTGCTGGGACCGCAACGCATCGATGTTCGTCGCTTCTTGCGCGGACACCATACACAGTAAAAAGTGCTTCATTTAGGTTAAATTATGCGTCGGCTGTGCTGTTCTGTCCTTCTTACTCATCGATATAGTGTATTCTGAAACCCAGAAGAGCCGATAACATTTGTATGGGCTTGTTCGGTAGGTAGTACGGCTAAAGTGATTGCAAGAATCGCCCGAGTTGCGTTTCTAGCGTGGCGACATCAAGTGACCGCTGTATTCTGCTGTCTACGGCTGAAAGTGGCAATGGCGAACTCATTTATTTCTCGACAACTGCGCAGCATCGTAACACATTCACTTTCGCGCGACACTTTTTCTAAACATCACAACAAAGTATTACATCGCGCATGTCGCAACTGATGTAAGTACGTGCACGAAATCTAAACATTCACGGCCGCATTTTACGCTCCACAAAAATTGAAGCGTTGTTAGACAGTGGGCAGTTATAGCATACTGGGCTTACCGGGGTACCGTGCATACCGTGATAGCGGAATCGAAGTGCACGTGCGCAGATACGTACGTTACCCGGGGTACCATTCTGGACATTATTGTCGAATTCCGCCATTGATCGATGCTAATTGGCCTAAAGTGCTGCCATTACGATATTGGACAATATGGCGGAATTAGTGTCCAGAATAGCACCCCTGTACCGCTTAGCGTATGCTTCAAACGTGAAAACATTAGAGAGTTATAGTTTAGCGTTAGCGTGATAGCGTAGGTCAAGGGAATGGTGTTACCGTGGAGCAAACGTTCTTTGTGGGCAGCGTCTGTCTTATAGTTTAGTGGAATAGCGTTTACGTGGTTTACGTGCCCAGCTGTGATGGTGGTGCCATTAGGTGGTTAATAAGTTAAACAGTGAAAATGAAAAGAAAACGAGAATGTTTACCTATGCCACCGCGCGAAGCATAGTTAGAAGTTTATTTTAGTGATAATAAAAGTAAATAAATATGAACCAAGCACCAAACGCGAGAACATCTACGTTGCCGATTTGTCACACCGATCTTGTAGTTAGGCCTAGGCGCGTTCGAAATGGGAAGCTATCTCAAAAAATACGCCAACTTATTCGTAATACTCGGTCGTCGAAGCTAACTGAAGGCAAGCGAAGCCACTTTGAACAATCGTTTGCGGCGGACAAGGTGAATCTTTCAACAACTACGCCAAAATCACTTCTAAGCGGGCGTCCGAGAGCGCCGCCATGTTTACGTACACTGCGTACGCCTACGCTACCACGGCAACGTGAAATCTGAAAAATACGTACGTATCTGCGCATGCGCACTTCGATTCCGGTATCACGGTACACCCGGTAAGCCCGGTATACTATAAATCTCTATTTATGTTGCCGACTTGTCAGCATTGATCTTGTAGTTAGGCCTAGACGCGTTTGAAACAGAAAGCTCTCAAAAATTACACCAACTTGCCCGTAATACTCGGTCATCGAAGCTAACTGAAGGCAAGCGAAGCCGCTTTAAACAGTCGTTCGCTGCAATCAAGTGAATCTTTTAACAGCTACGCAAAAATCGCTTCGAAGCGGGCGTCCGAGAGCGCCGCCATGTTTGCGTACATTACGTACACTTACGCTACCATGGTAACGCTAAAATAGAGCGCGTACGGTAAGTGGTACGGGTAACGTACGTATCTGCACTCGCATACTTCGATCCCGCGGCGCTGACCGTACGCCGGGTATACAACTCTGTTGACACAGCAGCAGTGTGTGTGTGTGTGTGTGTGTGTGTGTGTGTGTGTGTGTGTGTGTGTGTGTGTGTGTGTGTGTGTGTGTGTGTGTGTGTGTGTGTGTGTGTGTGTGTGTAATCGGACTTATGCCTAGTTCACACTGAAACATCCGCTTTCTACAGCGACCGCAATTCCCCTGCCGCCGAAACGCAGCGTTGTTCGCACTGGATGCGCCCCGCGCCGCCGAATATGCCATCTACCACGGGGCGAACGCGGGATGGATGCGCTGTCACCCGGTTGGTAACGCGGCTCGAAAACGCCACTACGCTATCTTGTGGCGTATACATCGATGATTCTCGTACGC